TCAACATGTCCAACAAAGAAGAGTTGCACCTTGGTGGTGGAGGCAATGAGGTGACAGGACCATGTAGAATCATCTGATGATAACCCTGTCGCTTGGGAAGTAAACTTGAGTGGGGATCAAAGACTGGAAAGATCAACTTGCTTTGGTTGCAACTGTGAAAGTCAAAATGGATTGATGCTTTCATTTAGATCCATCCTCCATGTGTGGTTAAGGCTGGGTACACAGAAGGACAATGTTCTGCCCAGACTCATTGACTAGGAAGCACTATGTTCCTATCTTTAAACAGACAGTTTAAACTTACTAACACCTGATTTTAACATTTTATTAAATGTTAATTAAAAGTTTATTAACATTTTATAGCTTTAATTAGCAATAAAAACTAGTTATCCTAATTATCCTAAAACCATTAGTTAAAAGCTAGTAGCTTTATTTGGCTTACTATCTACATAGTAATTTGATAGATTTACATGTGGTTTAGAAGCAAGAGAGTAAACATTTAGGGCAATGAAAAGTGGAATTGTAATTTCAAAGCTGTATATACTGTGCAAGTAGTGTGGTTACAGTACCTATTATTTTGGAAGCATCAAAATGCCCGAAAGTCTTTAACTGAACTAACTTTTTGTCTATCATTTGATATGGGCTTTATTTCATTCGGGAAAGAGAACGCTGCAAAGTAGGTCCCCAAAATAACCACCTTAGAAACAGCTGGCCTGATTCATGGAATGTTCAAGCCTGTCATATTGAATTCATAGGACATTCAGTCTCTTCATATGGTAACTAATGCTTTGATTTTCGCAGAAGTTAAATGTGAGAAATGCATGGTGTTGCACTATTCATTCAATGTGCCAAATGTTTATTTCAAAAGCATTTATCAACTTTTTCCAGACTGATGCCCTTATTTTCCTCGTGTGCTATTAATTTAATTTCTGACCATTCTTTTATTTTTGTCAAAGTATTTTAGCTGCAGGCATGCATTTCAACACCCCCAGATGTCATTTGGTGCGCTGCAGTGCTGAAATTCAAGTACTATATCCCTATTGCCAGACCTGATGCCCACTCACTAGGAATATTTATGCAGCGATATGGCCAAGGCTAGAACTGTGAACATACCTCATCCTTAAGAACAGTCTGGTTTAGGAACCTCAATAACTCTTCTGAGTCATCATGGGCAGACATCCTGAGAGGTTGTGAGACACCAATAGAGGGGCATCTGGGATTCTTTTAGATTCTGGGATTAGTCGCGCTAAACTTGAGAGATCATCATTTGTCAAGTATAAGAATTTATTAGAGATAAGAGGTTATAACAAAGCTAAAAGTGTAGTAAAGCTAGAAATATAACAGAACTGAAAAAATATATACATATCAGAGCTCTACGGTTAAACCACAGATGCAGGGTACAATGACTGTTCTTGCCCTTTCCTTGACCTTATGGGCCACCCCTCTGGTATAGTTTTCTCTGGATTGTTCTCACCACACTCAAGCTGCACCAGGATGATTCATGTTCTCCCTGGCAGTTGGCATCAGGGGCATCCCCGCTGATAGGTGGGTTGATGGGTGGGTTGTCAGTCTGCAGGCCAGCTGACAAGATGAGGGGGGTGGGGGGGGTGTCCATCACAAAAGTATGTGGCTTACTCTGTTTTATATCCAATCAAACAATGCCAGACCAAGGTTGCACAACAGCTGTATGACCTCAGTCAATAACTGTATGCATATCAGCAGATAACTCAATGCTCAGCCGGACAACAGTGCTGAGTTGATAACAAGCGCACATCAACAGGTCATTCAGTGGGGAATTGCACAGTACCTAGATACTTAGGGTGTGAGTCTGTGGTGTCACTTCCCCTTTCTCTGGACTTGTTTAACAATCACGGTGTTGTCAGAGGGTGTGCCACTAGGCTGCAGCAACCCTACAGTGTGGTACCCAAGATTTCTTAACTCTTGGGGAGCACCCCAGAGCAAACCTTTCTTCTATCAACTGCACCATCCTGAGTCCCACACTTGACTGTGTAGTGCCTATCAGAAGTTTCATCATACTTGTGGGCAGAGGCTGGCTGTATCTTTCTACTTGTAAAGCTCTAGCCTGCTCGCAGGAATAGTGGGGAAAAAAATGTGGTGCTCTCACAACTCCTGCTGCAGGAGTATATTGACTGCATCAGCCTGAGAAAATGGAGGAACCAGAGAAGAAAGAGTTCCGTCTCACTTTGGCTGGTGCTAATCCTCAGGAGTAAGATGGTACTCTGTTCACTTGTTTTCTGCCCTCACTACTGTTGCCCTGCAGTTGAAACCAACATGTGTTTCATGATTTTTTTTCTTTTGCTTTTTTTTTGCCTCCAGCAGGAGAACAAAGAGAGTATAATCTACTACTATATTTTGCAGGCAAAGGGGAGATGATGCAGAGTGGCTTCTTTCTTTAATGTTGGTGCTCTTGCTTATGTGTTAGAGAAGATCAAAGCAAGATGACCTGATATATGGAGTGAAAAGTGTTGAGGCTTGAGATCCATGGTTCCTCTCAGCATTCATTCTATTGTCTCTGATGAGTCCCCATGAGTCCCTCCGAGGTACTTGTTCCTTGCAAGAACAAGTTTTCCTCTTATTGTAAAAATGCACCCAAAGAGAAGGTTTATAGAAGGTGTTTTAGAAGATTATGAGCTATCCCAGAACTACGATACTGAACACGGCTAAGAAGCCATTACAGAGAATGCAGGATAGGCTTGATGTGTTTACTTTAGTCTGTGCTGCTGCAGTGTTTTTTAATATTTGGGGTTTTCTAAAAGTTAGTGATTCTCTCCCTCTGTTTGTTGCACAGACAAGAGGTGCATATAAATCAGAGCAGGTCAATATTGGCTAGGAGCAAATGAAATCCATTTGCTATTGAGGTGTGGTGGAAAATGATAGATGTGCAGATAGTGTTGTACGAGTGTTTAGGGTAGCCACCATATTCTTCTAAATTAAAAGCTGGTGTTTGATTTCTGGGTATTATTCTCCTTCCCCCCAGTTGGGGACCAGCCAACCACAGTGGAAGGAAGAGATTTGAAATGCTTACTTATTCCAGGCCACATTTCCATACAGGTATGTCTGGATGGGCCACTGCAGCTCTTATTTACAGTCACATAGACCGCTTCTCTTTCCTTTACTTGTACTGTGGTAGGAGCCACCTCATTCCATTTGCGATCACATATTATCCTTGTGGCAATTACAGCAGTTATGTGCATGGTGATGCACTGAACATTTGTATTACATGAACATTTAATCAGAATGGGACTATCAGACCAGTTTCTGTAATTTCAAACATCTTAGCTGGAATATAGAAGACATCATGGGGCATGGGCAATATGCCTCTCTGTACTATTGACAAACTGGTAAGATGTGGGAACTTCTGGCTCATGGAATGGTGAGTGTCACAGAAAAATCACTGGCTTTTGAAGAAGTAAAGGCCAATATTTAAATGGAGACAACAGTACTACACACGGAATATATGAGTATGCAGTGCCGCTGCCAAAAGTAAAATACTTGCCTCTAACTTTATTCTACGTACTGTTTTCCTACTGAGAGTTCTAGGTAATGGAAACGTACAAAGTTATCATTAATAACAGTGAATTTCATGAATATATTCTCTATCAGGACATGCTTAGGCTATAGTTGAGTTACGTCATTGATCATATATTGGGAAATCATTAAAATATATTAAAATGTTTTAAATGATTAATCAAATTGCAAGTACAGTGTTAATATAATGAATATAGATAGGGTGTGAGGGAGAAAGAGTTATTTTCAAAAAATAACTTTATTCCTGATCAAAATAACAGAAGGAACAGTCTTTTATCTTGTCATACCTAGCTTTGAATCGTCTTATATGTTTATGCAAATTAGTTACAAACTGATAAGACTTCATAGAATCACAGAATAGTGGCAGTTGGAAGGGATCTCTGGAGATCATCCAGTCCAACCCCCTGCTCATGCAGGGTCACCCAGGGCATGTTGTCCAAGATTGTGTCCAGAAAGCTCCAGGGAAGGAGACTTCACAACCTCTCTGGGCAGCCTCTTCCAGTGCTCCGTCACCCTCTCAGGAAAGAAGTTTTTCCTCATGTTCAGTCTTTCCATCGTCTTCTCTGGAGCTCATCTAGTCCAACCTCCCTGCTCAAGCAGGGCCCTCTAGAGCATATTTCCCAGGATCACATCCAGATGGGTTTTGAATATCTCCAGCGAAGGAGACTCCACTACCTCTCTGGACAACCTGTTCCAATGCTCTGTCACCCCCCCTTCAGATACTTGTACACCCTGATGAGATCTCCTCTCAGTCTTCTCTTCTCCAGGCTAAACAGGCCCAGCCCTCTCAGCCTTCACTGTTGTACTTGGGAGCCCAGAACTGAACACACCACTCCAGATGTGGCCCCCCCAGGGCTGAGGAGAGGGGCAGGATCACCTCCCTCCACCTGCTGGCAACACTCTGCCTCATGCACCCCAGGAGACCATTGGCCCTCCTGGCCACAAGGGCACACTGCTGCCTCATGCTTAACTTGTTGTCCACCAGCACTCCCTGGTCCTTCTTTGCAGAGCTGCTTTCCAGCACGTCATCCCCCAGCCTGTACTGCTGCATGGGGTTCTTCCTCCCGAGGTGCAGGACCCTGCACTTGCCTTTGGTGCATGGGTTTCTTCCTCCTGAGGTGCAGGACCTTGCACTTGCCTTTGTTGAACTTCAGGAGGTTCCTCTCCGCCCAGCTCTCCAGCCTGTCCTGGTCCCTCTGAATGGCAGCACAGCCTTGTGGTGTGTCGGCCACTCCCCCCAGTTTTGGATCATCAGCACACTTGCTGAGGGTGCACTCTGTGCTTTCATCCAGGTCACTGATGAATACATTGAACAAGACTGGACCCAGTTCAACAGGTGTGCAATTGAGACACAATGAAAGCGGGTTTATTACATTCAGAATGTCACTTGAAAGTTGTAATTGCCTTTATAAGCTTTGGGAAAGTTCATTCTGAATGTTTTACTTATCTTTCAGGAACTATAATTATGTCAGAAGAATTGCGAGATACCTTAGATAGTATGTATGATGCTCAAGTTCCAAAACTATGGTTCAGGATTTCGTGGGAGTCTGCTACTTTAGGATTTTGGTTTACTGAGCTTCTTGAAAGGAACCAGCAGTTCAGCAGTTGGTTGCTGGATGGCCGACCAAATCAGTTCTGGATGGCAGGATTCTTTAATCCACAGGTAAGACTGCCAGATTGATCTTTATGCATTATAAGGAAGGCCTATATTATAGCCAAATGGTACCTTGCAGGAATTTCAAGTTAACTCAGCCATGATTGTACTAGGGATAATCTAAATACAATTTTTAGCATAAATCTAGGATAAATTTACTTCAAAACCTATGAAGAGATTTTTTACCAGATCAAAATACTATTAATTCCTATCGTGTGGAAGTAGGTTGAATACATATTTGCGCATTTCAACTTTTTCCTGTTTTTCCTCTCCTCCATTACAATGATCTGTTTTTCATTCACTTCTGAAAACTCCTTTTAGTAAAAAAATAAATTTGAAAACTTTGACATAGGAAGAAGGGATTTGGACTTGCCTCTCAAACTTTGCAAGTAAGTTCTTTGAAATGAAAGGTTTGTTATTTATAACTCCCCAGAATTGTGCCAGACTTGATTTACAGGGAGATATAAAAAAGATAGCTTCTAGCCTGTACCATCTAAAATAAAAGGTTAGCACAAAATGAAACACAAAAAAATGGAAGAGCTAAGAACACAGTTAAAAGAGGTAAAGTATACATACCTAGATGATGCCTAGTTGTTATGTACAGTTTTCCACATTCTTTAAAGCTTTTTGTGATTCATGGATGTTTATGGGAATGATGAGTTGTGGAAGTGAGTCATCCTGAGAGTATCCAGCCAACATCCATGTGGAGCCTTAGCAGGGAGCTATTTTAAAGACGTATTTTAATCTCAATACTTGTTAGCAATGCAAATGTTAGCTGAAAACAGCTGTCTTAGAGAGAAAAAGTAACAGTGGCCAATTTTCTCTAGGAGTACCGATGGGCAATATTCATCTATCCTGTCTGAATCAGTTGTCTACTCATACAGCTTTGTAGTGTGGAAGTGTGCTATAGAATCTCTGGATAATGGTTTCCCAAACAAAAGTTGTAGTTTTAATAAAATAATTACGCTTCCATACTCGATTTGTCAACAGTACATTCACTGTGGCACTCTAAAGTATTCCTAAGAAAGTGTTGCAATGATCAGGCTAGACACAACCCTAGTAGGCTTTTTGGTTTTGTTGGTGTTTGCTTTTACACTACAGAGATGCAAGAGCCAACAGTTTTTGTACTGGCCATTTTAGTTTTCTTTGTGCTTTGGGGTTGTGTCAGTTCTGAAATTCAGCCAGCCCAGACTGGGTATCTTAATTTTTTTTTGGATCCATACATCTGGATTCTTCAAAAAAGCTGCCAAATAATCAGAGTAAAATGTCCCCAAACAAGTTGTGTTTAATAGACCATAGTAAGTGAGAAAGCCTCCAGAAATAGTGGAAATTAATGCTTTATAACACACAGTTCTGAAGTACCTAAGTACACAATATGCAGATAAGAATCCCAGAATGACCCATATTTACATGATTTAAACAACCTTTTGTACTGACAATCACAAACTTAAGATTCAGAAGGTTATTGTTATAGTCTCCATTTTCAGTAACTCAGGCTTTGGGAGTGGCTCATTCTACAAGAAATTAGTATGAGCAAAGATACATTTTCTATTTTCTATTTTTAGTTAATAATCATATTGATAAGCATTTAAAATCAGTGTTTCATACCTTAAGAAAACTGATTTTCATCTACTCAAGCAAGTTGGGGGAGATGAAATGTTACTTCTCGTGGTCTAATGGCTTGTTTGTAGTAGTTGAGAAACTGTCAGAAAAATCCTTATTTGTGGGAAAAAAATGCAGCTTTTAAGTAATTTGTAATTTGTCTACTTGCATAGATCTCACTCAGCTTTATAGTCAATGGATAAAGGCCAAGGATAGCACAAGACAATGAAGTAGATTTATAGCATTGGGAGAATGAAGCACTCCAGCGATTAAAAAAAAAAAGGTGTAGGGCCTGACTCTGTCTTTTCTTGGGCTGGTTCTACACTAGGATAAATTCAGTGATTTCATAGAAGTTAATCTTTGTTTACAGTGGTACAAATGAGAGCAGGCTCAGGCTTATATGTAAAAGAAACCTGATTCCCTGTGTGTGTCTGCACTGGGCCAAGATAGTGGGGGTGAGCAAAACAAGTAGTGCTTTTAATTTTCTCTCCTGCAAGTTAATCTGATGTTACTGGATTTTGTTCTCCAAAACAAAGCTATTCATACCTCACTTCTACCTCCCAATTTCCCTATTGTGGCAATATTATTTTATTGTTTCCTTGTTTGCAGTTCTGTATCTACTTGCTGTCACTTGTCCTACCTGTGGGTTTGAAGCCCTGTGAGGCAGAACTTTCTGATCTGTTTCATATAGTGCTTAGCATAATGAACCTCCAGCCTGTTCTTAAGACCTGTAGATGCTACAGCAAAGCAAATACTAGTAAGAATATGAAGTTCAATGCTTGCATTCCTCAGTTTCCACTTAAATCCGTAGTATTTATATTTATATATTAATATTTTGCTCACTGTAAAAAAATGCAAAATAAGTGACAAACAAGCCTCCTGAGCAAGGTGAAGGAGAGAATGTGGTTATGAAAGCAATAGACTTGCATGATTTGCATATTTCTTGTCATTGCTTCCATGCATGTCTAATTCTTCCTCACAAGAAGATTCAGCGGTATTTTTTACGGGTTATTAGAGGCAAAGGAACAAAGCTTTAGCCTAGCTCAGCAAGAAAGAGATTGAGGAAAAGGGAGGTAAGTAGAGAAGAAATAATTTTCCTAGATTTTGAAATCTCAAAATAAATAAATAAACAAACAAAGGTAAAGGCTACTGGAAATTGAAGCAAATGTCATGGCAAGTGGTCAGTTATGTCCTCCACAGGGGGTTCTGGGAAGAACCAGACTTTCACACCTACAGTAGCACCTCAAGCTGCTTGATTCTTTTCTTTTTATTGTGCCATTCACCTTCTGTAGGATACCCAGCTGTGCCACCAGCTCACAGCTGTAGTCTTTAAACATCGTCCAAGATTCATTATAATGAGCAGATGAGCTTTACAAGTCCCATTGCAGACAGTGAATAGGTCCTACCATCTGCATAATAATAGTCTGCTGTCTAAATCTTGTTCCTGAAGACAGTGCACAGCTCTGAGCTTACTTTTATTCCAGTGTTTGCACAACACCGTTGAACTGATTCCCTTAATACTGTCATTGCTCTGTCCTGTCCTCTTCAGGCTCTTCTTCTCTTTAATATTTTAGTTTATCTGGGATCTAGGAACCCTCTGGGGCCTTCTGGCAGAAAACATTTTCTGAATTTTAAACTACTGGTACTAGCATGTTTCTACAAATTAAAATTCCACAGATTAACCACATGGATTCTCTTTCATTAAATGGCATTTCTGATAGGAGAACTTGGCCTTTAATTCTGTCTCCTTAGCTAGAGTTCTCAACTACTTCAAATGCGATTATAATTATCTTTGCTATCACAAAACCTTTTTAAAATACTTATCCTGATGTCTCTGGCATGATATTAGGAAGAAGCAACTAATGTCAATTAACTGAAACACTTGAGCTTCTGTACATCATCTTATGTTTTTATAGTTTGAAGGATATATAGTAGCTAAGAAATATTTAGCACCTGCAACACTCCAGTCCCAGCAGCCGGAGGCTGACCCCTGCATTCAATTAGATCAAGGTGCTAATGTTTCAGCATATGACTTTTTTCCCTTCATTTGGCACGGAACCGTAGCTCAGCACAGCTTCCTGTGCTATGAATACTGAAGAAAAATAAAAAAGCCTGTTCATTTCACAGGCTCCAGTACTCAGCTTTAAATTCCCTCATTGCTCCTGATTACTCCCAAGATACAGTATTGGATCTCTAATCTCCTCCTTTGTGTTTACCCCATGTAGGAAAATAAGTATTCTCAGATACTGTTATTCTCTGTTTTGAAATTTATCCTGAAACTGCTTCTTTTCTGGTTCTCTTTCCCATTCCCGCTTATGCATCTTCAAATTTTGTGTTTTATTCATTCATCTCATGGCTAAGCAAACAGGCATAAGGCAAAATAGGGTGTACATCCACAGCACATCCAGTTGAATTGCAGATAAGTCTATCCTCCTGTCTCTTAAGACTAAGGTACTTCCCATATACTACAGCATATATGCCTATGGACAGTTACATGAGAGAAGCTAAACAGCGACCTAGTTTGTCTTGTGATAGCTTGTAATCATGTCCTGAGACTGTAAGTCTTTAGAACAGAGAGTGGATTTTATTCTGTGTTGCCAAAGGGCTGTGAGCTTAACTTGCTGGTGTCTACAAATATACAAAAAAACATTATACAAGTACTACATTATTCTAGTATATTAAAGCTTTGCATTGAGCAGCAGCTATGTTGCACCCTAATGACAGAGGCATTTCGGTAGTTAATTATGAATCCAGTTTGTACTTCATGTTCTGTAAAATCCTTTGGGATTTATTGGCTGAAAATTATTTTTATAGCATTGATATAAGAAAAGGTGAGCAAAGTAGCACATGGAATACCAGAGCTATTTGTGGCTTAGTAATTACCTGTACTTGGAACTTTACAAACCACATTAATCTGGCAGCTTTGTAAAACTCTCTCCATCTGGCTTACTGTTGTAAAGTAGGTGTGGGAAGTGAATTACACATGCAAATTCCAATATGTTAAGGTGCTACTTTTGGTGGCTTCTGGCACCCACACATGTATAGCAAGTACATACTTCTTATGTATGTATGTATGTTACTCAGACAGTGCAAGAAAGTATTGGGTTTTCACTACTGAATTTAGTTTTATAAGCAGATGAAATTCTGTGGGATGAGGTTTTATGCTGCTGTATAGGAAATAAAAGTTGGACATAGATAAGTTCCAGCTTTTTTTAAACCCCTCTATGTAATATTTGATTTCCTTAGGGTTTCCTAACTGCTATGAGGCAAGAGACAACTCGCATGAATTTAGCAAAAGGGTGGGCACTTGACAGTGTTGTTTTACACAATGATGTGACCAAAATGATGAAAGAAGATGTAACTGGACCTCCTCCTGCTGACACTGGTGGAGTTTACATATATGGCCTTTTCCTTGATGGAGCAGGCTGGGACCGCAGAAACAGTAAACTGATTGAGTCAGCACCAAAGGTAAGGATCAAGTGAACATCACTGAGTGTAGCACAATATGATGTGCTCAGAGAACATCAGGAAATATTCTGAGTACCTCTTTGTATCAGGGGTTTCACAAAATGTTCTAAGAGACTGAAATACTGACAGGACTGGGAAGAGGGAATGATGTGTACCTTCCAGAACAGAGCAAAAAAGCTTCCATGGGAAAAGGAATTTAGGATGTGCTGCACTAGAGCAGACCAGATGCTGGGCTGCTTGGCTTCAGGAGCTCCAGAGGCATGGCCGTGTCTGAACAAATTAGTGCAGCCCACAGTGAGTCTGCTTCCAACTGAGCAAGTGAGCCCCCATCACAGCTTCCAAAGCCTGGGACTGGATTTGATGGCAGCTGCTGCAGAGGTCAGCATTTGGAGGACTAGAAATCCCTGGGCTTTTGGGAGGGTTTTTTTTGTTGTTGTTGTTTTGTTTTGTTTTGTGTTTTTTAATAGGAAGAAGAGTATTAGTTCTGGACTTATGCTCAGTTACCCATGTGTGGAGTTACATTTTACTCACATGACTAAACAAGTTTAAAACCTAGCTGTGCCGTACTGATTAAGTGCTGTGGGCACCACCCAGGCAAAGCTGCCATTGTGTGCACTTTCAAACTTTTGCCTAGTGCTAACTGTCCTGGAATTGGGTTTAGGTCATTCCTCTCTGTAGGTTACACACTGACTGGTCACTAACTCATCTGAGAATCATCTGAAACTTGCCAGCTGTAGCTTCTGGTAAGAGCTGTTCCTGGGTTTGTCAAAGGACACCTTCAAACGAGTTTAATCAAGTACTCTGGAGTGTTCAGCAAGCCCCTGTGTTGCAGTTGAGTTTGAGTCCTTTCCCTCCCACCCCCATTACACGAGTACTTTTTTTGAAAGAAGACCTGAGGAGATTTAGTTTGGATTAACACCCAGGAGGCACCTGTTGGGTTTTTGAAGCTCTGCTGCCACCAGATCAGATGTAACAAGGAAGCTTGCTGGAGACAGCTTGGCCTTTGTAGCTCCAATCCTGCCATTCAACAAAGAAGGAGAGGTGGGGAAAGAATGGGGAACACTAACTGAAGAGGCAAAGGACAAGAAAAAAGACGAAGGACTCTCCCCCTCTCAGAACTCTGCTGTGGTTATTCCATCCACCTTCATCTTTAGAGGTTTCTCCTGCTTTCTCTTCTGTCCAGGCTTCCTGACATCGTACACCCTTGAGCTGCTACCGGCTTAAAGATATGTTGGGGTCAATGTAGAAGCGAGCATAGTGCTGGTGTTTTTGCTGGGAGCAATCTCAGAATCTACTTATAGCATGTCTGGAGTTTAGACACCCTGTCCTAGTTCTCTAATGTGCAGCCCTTTGTCTCTTTTAATGTTCTCAGGTGCTATTCACAAGTCTTCCTGTAGTCCATGTGTATGCCGTTAGCACAGCAGTGCTACCTGACGCAAAGAAACAACAAGCAAGCATGTACTCTTGCCCTGTGTACAAAAAGCCTCGAAGAACAGATCTGACATACATTTTCTCTTTGTACCTGAAAACAGTGAAGAATCCTGATCATTGGACTTTACGGGGGGTTGCGCTGCTTTGCAATTCAAAATAGGGAACAACAATAGCTATTAAAAAAGAATCACTTAGGAAGACAAGTCTGCAGTTTGTAGGACTTTTGTTGTTATTGTCAAAGTGGTGGGTAAGGAAATTAGCAAGTGACCCACAGAGATTGTTTTAATTGTGCAGAGATCAGTTTACTCTGTTCACAGTAGAAATACTAAATGTATTTGACCTGAGAATATCAGAGAAAAAACAGTTACAGTTGTAAAATGTAGCAACTGTTATAAAGCAAGTGAGAACATACTCAGTCAGTTCATTCATAGTAGAAAAACTTTAGAAAAGTGCTTATGATAATGATAACTGCTCTAATATTTATGGTGTTTCTTTTCTCAATGCTATTTTTTCTTCCTGATTTAAGCCTTCTTCGTGATATAATAGAATTATTTTTAAATTTGACTTTATAGTTACAAATCTATATCAGTTACAGATTTATCTTGCATAGCATTACTAAAGCTATGATGACAAGCCAAATACATGGTAAAACTTTGTATCTATCTGCATGTATGCTAATGCACGGTGCTTTTGATTTTGCATTTGTAAACTTGTGGGGTGATTTTTACAAATGAATGCTACCACTTCATTGAATAGTCAGATGTTATGCAGATGATCATAGAAAATGTATAAACAGGCAAGTTTATCTTTGCACAAATGATAGCCTTTGCACATCTTAACTCATTTCTAAACCTACATCCTTTCATAAGGAAGATGTGCACATGTCCAATTATTAGTAAGAAAAAGTTTTGAAACTCTTCTCTGAGGGGGAGGTAAGCGCATCTGAACTTTGGATTGCCTTTATTGATATTAGCTCCATTCACTTTATTGCCTGAACCTTACAACCTCATACCTCTTAATTGCTTTTTATCCTGTATTTTGCATAAGTTTTGGAGAGAAAAGTAAAAGAAACATACACCAGTTTTGGGACATAGGTTCACCTGGAAGTGATTGAAGTTATTCTTGTATGTTACCACAACTTTCATCTACCATATAATTGAAGGGTGATTGCTACTTCTGTTTTATAATATAGAATATTATAACACAGCTATTAGCAGAAAAATTATTTGACTTTTTTCACTAGGACATATTCAAAGCAACAGAATTGCAGTTGGATGTTGTGAAAGAAGGACTTACAGTGAGTCCTTTGTTCTTCACTTTTTTTCTCCTTGTAAACACAATTTTCTTGTTCTGTTAGCCTGGCTTCTAAGAAAGTAGTTCATCTTTTCCCATAAGCAGTTTTACTCTGCAGTTAGCAACTGCAGGGCTTTTACCCTGAGGAGATTTGAAATTCACACTCCCTCCCGCAGCTGAGCATAAAGTGGCAGATTTGTTCTTGGAAGACAGAACAAGCAGTGCAGGATCCCTTTCTGCCATTGAGCTGGGAGCAGAACTTGCTTCACATACAGCTCAGGAGAGATCATCTTACCAAGAGGAACCACCTGTTCAGAAAGTGTATACACCAGGCGTCCCAGCAGTACAGCTGCACATCTACTGATTTCATTGAGAATTTTGTTTATGAGAAAGGTGCAGGACCAGACTTTAGGGTCATTGCTCCTTCAAATTATGAAAAAGATGAGAGAGACTTCAAGCAGGAAAATTGCCATTGTATAGAAAATAAGGTTTTATCCCAAGGTGTTGTCCCCTCCCTCACATGTATTAAGTTAACTTTGATCTCTTAGTACGTGTAGGTTTCAACTCAGTAACTTTAATAGTAACTGTTAAAATGAAGAGGATGTGTTGAAATACTCTGCTACACCTGAAGAACTTGCTACTTGCTATGAAAACAGGTCATCCTCTGATTGATTGAAGTTAGATGTAATTATTACAAAATAAATATTTGATAAACCTCATATGTGGTGCTACACGACAAACACCATGGAAACTGCATGACTTTTCTTTGTCAAGTGAAATGAGAAAATTAAATACGCTACAGGCAATTACATTGCAGCACTTAGGGTCCTGCAGTATACAAAGAAATAACTTATTTGAACAGCTTCTAACATGTAGAAGGAAGCTACCTAAAGGAAGGTAATTATCTATCAGATCTTTTTACTTCAGTAGTGAATCCCTGTTTTCTAGTTCAGGAAAGCTTCAAATCTTGCAGAATAAAATACAGGCTCTGTTTAAAAAGAACCAGACAAATCGTTTGCTGTTTCAACTAAGATAACTACAGTACTGTAAAGAATAGGAAGAACACGCAAAGTCACCTGGCTTCTGGAAAGCTTCTTTTGTAAGTGGTAACCCCTTCCCTCCCAGTATCCCATAAACAAACCCCCCCCTCTTTTTTTTTTTTTTTTGCCTGTAATTACAATAGAGCAGAAATATACAATTTACTGCTGAAATAAATATCTTCCTCTCTTCCCCTCCCTCCCTTGCCCTGTCCTGTCCTTCCATTCAGTGGAGTCGCTCCTTCCAATCTGGCAAAGTTAATTTAATTGGGAATGTCATTAACATAGTATAACATTAACCTTTTCCAAATGGTGATCGTTACCATTGCTAAAGCTACTTCCACCTCAAATGCCAAGTACACTAGACCAAATGAAAGAATTGTCAGGCAGAATATTTGAAATCAAACTAATTATATTTAAATTATAGATTAACAATTAGCTGGCATACATCAAACAGTTTATATAGATAATCCAGTTATGCTCTGCTGTTAAATGAAGCTGAGATATTAAATAAAACCATACAGCTTTTGGCAACATTGTACAAGTTTCTCACAGATGATAATAATGCCTAACTTTGCCTTAGATAAGTGCTGTGAAGACAAGTCTGTTTAAATGAAGAAAGCAAGCACAGTCCTGCTTTTCGTGTCAGCATAGTGGCTGTATTTACAAAAATCTGATTTCAGGGCACTAGCTCCTCGGTGTTGCAAATAAACAGCATTCCATACTCCAAAGGGTGTCTGTCTCATGATCCCTCTGGCTGTGGCTAGTCGATAATGATGATGATAAGGAACTGGGTTATGGATTGGCCCTGTACTTCAGCAGCTTTGTAGAATAGATTTGAATTGCAGTGAAATTCAGAAAAACTACAGAAAAACAGTTCTCATCTTACAGTTACATTCACGAACCCTTTTATCCTCTGTATAGTGTAACAATTAATAATTACAAAGATCTCAAGAAAATTAATCAAACTTCAGTTGCAATATTATTATATTTTTGCTCTCTACTCATCCACAACCCACATGTTCATCTTATTCTCTTTTACTTCTTTATATCCCTGCCTTTCTCATGACCATGTTCTGGTCTTTCTAAATCAGGAACATGATGCCTAATTCTCTTTTTCTCCTGCTGTTCCATATTTAACTTCTCTTCTGCTTGTTTAATCTTGTTCCGTAAGAGCAGAAAAATGCATTGCTAAACTCCATCATTCCTTCCTCTTTCAGAACTCTGGAAATCATCTTTATTCAGTTCTCTTTTTCTTTGATCAATTTTTCCATTGAGAAAAAATATTATTTCTTCAAAAAATCTATCATTCTTGATGCATTTTGTCACATCCTGGATAAAGCAGAAATTTTCTTCTCCTGCTATTTCAGTGAGGGCCCATGAAAGAAAAGATTTTTTTTTTATAGCTGCATGGATACTTTTTGTATTTCTTCCTTCTGTTAATATGAAGTAATAACTTGGTTACTGTTTGTTTTCTGTTTAGATGATTTGGTACAAGATAATGGAAAATGTTTTTATGCTGTTGCACATAAAACTAAAGAGAATGATTAGACTACTAAGTGAATACTAAATCAATCTTAAAAATATAGCAAGTTTCCATCTCCCTTTGACATGCAATCATAACTTCCATTTGGAATAATGGTAGCTATTGGTACACATCAAGAGAGAGAGAGAGAGGGAGCCCTTTTGTTAAATTTGCATGACTTCTTGTCTTTTTTCAGGAAGACAACACTACAGACACCCGTGTAAATGAACAACACACACATATTTTCTGATATAACAAAAATTCACACGTTGTTCTAAAACTGAGTGAATCTGTACTATATTCTCTCTTGTTCAGTAGGGATTGTATGGTATATATGTTAATTGATTTCTTATGCTGATTGCTTTAAGTTTAGTAAAGGGACATTATCACCTGCTGCTCCTCCTCCTTTTCCTTCCTGTTTAAAAATGGTTTCTGGGATTGCCCCTCCTTTTTCAGCTGACTCAGAAGCACCTTTTGTTCCACTGCTCTTGTCTTTCTTTGTCTTAGTAGTCACTTCTGAGTAAGAGATCTCTTCAGTGAAGGGCTCTGCTGCTGAGGTCTCAGAAGCTATGTACACACCACCTTCCTGGATTCCCTCCTGACCTTCAGCTACTGTTCGTTCTTTATTTTTTTTATGGATCTTGAATGTCTTCCTTACTGGGGCAGCTTGTGAAATGGTTTTCTTGAACCTTATCCCAGATTGCTTCAGTCTCTCTCCTGACTGCCTGATCCTTTCTCTCCTTTCAGGGGTCACTATTCTAGTTTGAAGCCTGTTTACTTTCTTGCCAAAATTTTGTCTTGTCTTTTGGATATTTTCCCTTGAAAATGCCTTTTTGATATCATCTATGCGCCTCATGCCTGATTTCTTGAAAAGGGCTGCTTTGCTTTCTTCAATATAATATTCTTCATCAGAAGACAGATCATCAGGTGGGAAGAAATCATCCTCTAGGTTTTCACCTCTTGTCCTCTCTTTGATGACAGAGAGAGATGAAGGACACTCAGTTTCCTCCTGTGAATGAAAGCACAGAGTTATCTTCCTGCAACTGTGTTTTTAAAAGGTGATGATTCAAGCATTTTGTTTGTTGGCTTGTAATTAATTAATACTGATAACTGACGTATAATACTGCAACAAAGCAAAGTAGGCTTGTCCCAGCATATGTGATCTATATTGAATACAAACAGCTGCAAGAAACCTTTGAAAAATTTTGTAAAAAAATTATACCTAATTACAAATATATTTTCCTTATGTTTCTTCCTGAAAATAATGAATGCCATGGTCCAATGTTTACTGTCCCCTAATGGTTTTCAGAGCAGATATGTCCAATGTATGTTTTTTTGAAGCTGTTCTGCTATTCTGAGATTGGATCTAGATCCCATATTTCTCATCAATAGTAGTAAACATCATGTAGGACGAAATAGGCTCATATATCAGCAGTACACTCTACAAATGAGTGCCTTAGTGATATCTATGTCTTCTTCCCTAGACTGTCATTAAGAGAACTGCGCATTTTTGACTAACTGGAACTTAGCAAACGTTTCTATTGTTGCCCAAAAAGGGACGGACCCCAACATATTAACTTATATTTGTTGGCTCAACGGGGAGTCAAAGTCAGTAAAGTTAACCATTCAGTCATTCAGTTAACCTAATGCCATACAGTTTACTCTGCACCTGGTACCTGAGGTGAACTTTACTTGTTCTGTTTGGAAACGTGTGCATGGCCTAGACCAAGAACCTCTGTTTTCTTTGATCAGTTTGTTGGTGGCCTATATGAGTAGGCAGTATTATATATTTATATTATACATATGATATGTATTAGCTGCATGTTTGGAGGTGATAACTATCCTAGATACCTTAGCACTAGGAATTTGTATAGTCCCTTTAAGGAAAGACTGCTGGAAGCTCAAAGTTACACAGAAAATTTCTAAAAGCTGTCCACAGTAATCAAGTGACTTACCATGAATCACTTAATTGTAGGAGATGTGAGGGGAGAAGGGAAAAAAAGGAAGAAAGCTTGAGAGAATCTCTTCAGAGAATTGATCCCCTGATCTGAAGACTGCTATCCGACATAGACATGATAAGCTCGTGGTCAGAGTCAGTGAGCTAATCCCTTCCTTACTACTAGCTATTTCCAGGCACATGCATGTGCTCCTCTGCCAAGAGGACCAGCTCTTTAGGTGCAGATGTATACAATGCATAAAACTTTTTATGAGTTGTTTCCCTTTAGTCAAAACTGCTTCAGCTGTTTTCGGGCCCCTGCCAGTACTTCGGCTCTACCCTTAGTATTAATCACTTAATACAGAAAATAGAAGAGCTATTAGAAGTTGTGAACCCATGAAGAATGGGTTAATCTTACTGTATATTTTATTGTGAACTGATTTCCATTGAGGAAAGCATCTGTCGTTTTTCATAGTGACTCATTAGTAGCAGGTCATGTTTAATTTTATTTTACAGAACACTAGCAATAGGTAAAATAAAATGCATTAAGCCATTTGGCAGCTAATACCCACTTAAGAGTCTATCATCATGTTTTGGCTTCATCAAAAAACCTCTGCTAAAATAGTTGTTAAAGCTTAGAAATTTTAGGGATAAATTAGTTGCATTGATTCCAACAGAATGTTATTCAGCTCCTCTGTCAAAATCAGCAG